ACATCCACACTGATCACATCCACACGGGTCACATTCCACTGATCACATCCACACGGGTCACATCCACACGGGTCACATTCAACAGATCACATCCACACTGATTACATCCACACGGGTCACATTCCACTGATCACATCCACACGGGTCAGATTCCACTGATCTCATCCACACGGGTCACATCCACACGGGTCACATTCAACATATCACATCCACACTGATCACATCCACACGGGTCACATTCCACTGATCACATCCACACGGGTCACATTCCACTGATCACATCCACACGGGTCACATTTCACTGATCACATCCACACTGATCACATCCACACGGGTCACATTCCACTGATCACATCCACACGGGTCACATTTCACTGACAACATCCACAAGGGTCACATTCCACTGATCTCATCCACAAGGGTCACATTCCACTGATCACATCCACACGGGTCACATTCCACTGATCACATCCACACTGATCACATCCACACGCGTCACATCCACACGGGTCACATCCCGACTAAATCCACGCTTCATATTCACACTGATCTACATCAATCACCTCACACGCACTGCTTACACCCTGATAAAGTGAGAATAGTGAACAGAGGTACGAAATATGATTGGAACAGACATTCAGAATGCAATTTCTGAAGTGATACCGTTATTTCTATTCTTTTGAAATTATATGGAATGGTCTGCAAACAAGAGTATCTGTACCGGTACTGGTTAAAACACTGACCACTAGCTGACCACTAAGTCCTGTGGATGGTCATCCAGGTGAGAATTGTCCTCTCCCATGAGATAAGGATGTCTGTGTGGCTTCTGGAATGTAACGCCGGTCTAGAAGTATAGGTAATATGTTTACGGCAAGAGATACTTCATGGGAAATGAAATGAACTCAAAATCCAATTTTGCTTTATAAACTATTGTAAACTTCATCCTCCCTCCCCACAGGGAAATATGACACCATGAGATCAAGAAATTCTCAATTTTGGTAAAGTATCTAAGACCCTTCCATCCACGATGATTATGTTTCTATAATATCTATGTATAGAGAAGAAGATTTTTGAACTTTGGTCCAATTTGAACCTGGTCAGCCAGGGTCAATATGTGGTTACCATCATGCTGTCATTCTTTAATAATTCTAACCAAATATGAAGTATTTCTAATGGAACAAATGGAAATTCAACAAATCATGCTACAAAATGTACCTTTTCTATAAAAAAAAAGGCAGTAAACTTAATCTCCGGGGAGAAATGTGACACCCTGGGTTAATGAAATTATGGTAAAGCACCTCTAGACACTTCCGTCCATGAAGAATATTTGATTCTACCATGTCTGGGTTTTGAGAAGAAAATTTAGATCCCTGGGGGTGGGGATTATATATTTCACTTGTTTTTTGTTCATCTTAAGCCAGGGAAGGCTTATGCAAAATTTCATTGTAATCGGTACAGGGTATCTTGAGACGTCGAAAATGTTTAAAGTTTACGAACGAATGACAAAAGGTGATCGCAATAGGTCTTCATAAAACTTTGTCTCAGGTGACCTAAAAAGCGTTGTATGATTAAGTGTGGGGTATAATTAACATAAAATTGTCATTAGCGATCAATACAGGTAAATACAAACGTTACACCTGAAGTAGATCAAACTTACACGAATAGATCGACCACTTATATGGACAATTTCAGTTCAAGTCGTAACACAATAACCGACTGTTATAATTATCTTACCGAGCAACTCTACACGCCCGGGTGTCGCGATGTCGAAATGTCAAAATGCGAAGTTTTAAAAAACGTGAATCGTTTACGCATAACTAACCATAAGCTACCAAAACGACCTTAGTCTCATTGTTGTAACTTTATGGTTCAAGCCCGATCTGTGGGACATGACGTATCAAGAACATCATCTATCCACGGGGTTCTCTAAATGACACATATATTTAAATGACTCTGACATGACAAATTTAACCTTTGCTCTCTATATCTTGACTTTACAAGTTGTAGCGGTTTTAAAGCACTGCAACAGTTGTCGGACAGGCACAGAAATAAGTTTTTAATGTTTTTTAAGAAATTAAAAAAACATATCACTACCAGTTGATCTATCATTAAAAATGTTTGAGAAACTATGTAAAGAAATATTGACTACAAGAAAAGGCACAGCCAAATTTGCTGTTTATGGTGAGCTGGGAAGATGCCTACTTGACAATGAAATTAAACGTTTTGTTATTCCAGCACAAGTTATGTCCCTTTACTAGATCGTTTGAACACCCCTCAATCAGATGTAATGGGTACGAATTATGTGCCTTTACTTGACATTTTTAACACTAGACACGGACCATCGTTACTATAAGTAATTGCCACGAGAGAATTTGACCCTCTCTCACTAGAGGCACACGACTAAGATATCGGAGTAGACCGAAAATTTTCTCTGTTATTGATGTTCACATGCGATATGAAGCTGGACGTGTTTGATGCTCGTAAGTTTGTCTGGTGATCAGTTATCATTATTTAGCATGTTCTCATTTCAGAACGTGGCATTAATACAAGAGGCCCATAGGGCCTGTATTGCTCACCTGGATCTTAAGCCCATCAATGTTATACATGACTACAGTGTTTATTTCAACTATTTCCAAATTAAAACTCAGTTATTTTACCTCTTTTATGAGGAAAGACCAATGGGTAAATCATTACTGTCTTTCTCTTTTGATTCAAGTAAGACTGTCTGTTGGTTTCTCAACTATATAAAAATATATGACCCTTGACATGTGCCACACCCAAAGGTCGATTCTTACATAACAAATGTGTTTATCTTTGATATCAATTAATTCCACACACACGCACGCACGCACGCACACACGCACACACACACACACACGCACACACACACACACACACACACACACACACACAATATGGTTATGGAGTGGAAAACCAAATGTTTGAAAGTTATCACCCAAAACTTGAGTCCAGAGGGGTGGGGCTACAGTCAGGGATCAGTCATTACATTGTGAATGTGTTTATCTCTTGATGTCCAGCATTGCCCTTTATGGTTTATGAGTGGAGGTCTCAGCTGTTTTAGATATTACCATGAGTCCCTAGGAGTGGGCCATGCCTCAGGGCCAATAATTACGCATGATTGTGTTTATCTGTTTATGCCCAGCAATGTGAAACATTGTTAAAGGACGGAGATCTATAATGTTTTCAAATTGTCCTCAATTCATCATTTATACAAAACAGATTCCCCTTCACCCAAAACATGATTCACAAAACCAATCATTCCTACAGGAGAAGTAACGCTTTAAAGAAATTGTTTCATTTCCTCTCTTGGTCCCACTCCTCTCACCGCAGGGGGCCAGACCACTTGTTTATACAAAATTGAAATTCTTCACCAAAACATGCTTCACACCAAATAAGGATAAAATTCAATCATTCCTACAGGAGGAGTAGGATTTTAAAGAATTTGCTCTGTTTTCCATTTTGGGCCCCGTCCATCAGGCCTTGGGAGGCCGGGACATACCATTTATAAACAAAGTGATGTTCTTCCCATAAGGATGCTTCTGACCAAATTTGGTAAAAATCTCAGTTGATCATGACTGGTAGCATGTTGTAAAAAAAGTTGAGAGATGAGAATGGCCAGTCGGACGATGGATGCAGTGCTATATTTTTAGCCCATTTCCCCTATGGGCAAAGTTGTTCCTGTCTCAGGTATGTAGTCAGACGGTAAGGCGTAGTAAAGAGGGTTAGATATTAACATAGCAATCCAGCACGTTTGGCCAAATGGCATTCAGTACAAGTTATGTCCTTTTACCAGGCATTGTTGAAGCTTCAACCAGAAGTGATGGTTACAAGTTATGTCCCTTTAATAAGCAATTTTGACATCCCTTCTCCAGAGATGATGAGTACAAGTTATGTCCCTTCATCAAGCATTGTAGACAGGCCTCCAACAAAGTGAATGATATAAGTTATGTCCCTTTACTAGGCATTTTAAACAGCCATCAACCAGAAGTGATGGTACATGTTACGTCCGTTCACTTGGTATTGTAAACATCCTTCCACTTGATGTGATGGTACAAGTTATGTCCGTTTACTTGGTATTGTAAACATCCCTCCACGTGATGTGATGGTACAATATCCCTTTAATTGGTATTGTAAACATTCCTCCACGTTATGTCCCATTACTTGATGTGATGGTGCAAGTTATGTCCGTTTACTTGGTATTGTAAACATCTCTCCACTTGATGTGATGGTGCAAGTTATGTCCCATTACTTGGTATTGTAAACATCCCTCCACGTGATGTGATGGTACAAGTTATGTCCCTTTACTTGGTATTGTAAACATCCCTCCACGTGATGTGATGGTACAAGTTATGTCCCATTACTTGGTGTTGTAAACATCCCTCCACGTGATGTGATGGTGCAAGTTATGTCCCATTACTTGGTATTGTAAACATCCCTCCACGTGATGTGATGGTACAAGTTATGTCCCTTTACTTGGTATTGTAAACATGCCTCCACGTGATGTGATGGTACATGTCCCTGTACTAGAAGTTTAGAATAGCCCTCCCTCTAATACAGGAGAAATGTATTATAACTCCTTATTATTTCTTCACTTTAAATGTAATTTAAATTCTTTGTAAATTGTTTATGATCAATGTCAATATTTCATCAATCAACTAAAACAAGTGATTCCACTGGGATTTTAGTGCCAACCATTCTTTGATCTTCATGTGATCTTTTCTCTGTTTTTGCTCCTGATTACATTAAATTTGAAACACTCTCCTATGAAAGAGCAACAATTATCATTAACTGTCAAATCACAGATTGCTGCCTTTTAGTCATTATGCTTTTTTCTAATCAGTCTTAAAACCAACAGAAATGAAATAAAAATAAAAATAATAACAAGAACTGATCAGGGACAGATTGCAGACAAAGGATCATGGATGAAGGGAGATTCGAATAGCTAACAAAGGGTAAATGAAGATAAGATAAACAACGAACACATATATGATCAGGGTGTATTTTGTTTTTAACAAAACAACACAGAATATCATAGCACAATAATAAAATCACTAACAAAGGATCATAATTCTCAGTTATGAAATCAGGATTTAGAAAAGATGTTGAATATTTCATACGATAGATTCAGCAAGAGTACTCTGACCATAACATAATATACATAGTAAGACTTTAAGTCAAATGTACAATTAAACACCAGTTCTACCTTATGCCTTAATCAGTGAAAAAGTTTAGCAAAACTTAATTTTTTGCAGAGAGATCAACGCAGATCTTCTGAAAGAAGGAATTGATAAGTACTAGTGTATATGTCTAGTGTCTACTGGTATCAGACTCATGTCAGTTAGAAATATTGGTACTATGGTGAAATTCATTCAGAAATTAGACAAGGTAAAGTGACAACCTTCAGCTAAGTAAATGATTTTGAATAAGGTCTGCAGAGTAACCTGAACTTTTAAGCATTCACCTGTTCCTTTACTGCTCAAATCCTAAAACTTTATCAAATTCCATAACTACATGACTAAAGCTTCATTTAAATACAGTTTATCTTTCTGAAAATATAACTTCTGAAGGTAATCCCTTGATTCAAAAAACCCTCTCATTTTCATTTTCAAAATCATTTTCCATATGATTTTCACACTGAATAAGAAATTACCAGAGTCTATATATAAAGAATGATCCATCACATAGAGACCCCTGTTAACTATATCTACACACACCGACTCATGGTTTTTAAATCAGTCCAATAAATGACAAAAGTCAGGGCCACAGAACGTGCTTTTATATCACCAGTATCTGGCTACAGTGAAAGTAAAACCTAGGCCACTCTGTATACAAGTCCAAATTGTGTGACCAGTCCAGGAAGTTTGTTGATGATCCTCATTACTTGATAGGCATATGCATGTGTCATAATCTTTACAATGTGCCCCTCTTGAGCCATCTACCTTTTTCAAAGTTCTATAAGGTCTTGCATTGGTCACTGTGACCTATTTTCCTCGTTTAAATCCACCACCTCCTCGACCCTTTTTCTTTGCGGATCCTTTTTGTTCATCCAGCTGTAACACATAAAACATGATTTTAGTTCAATATCTACAATATCTGAAAGAATCATCTACCATCATGTAAAAAGGAAATCACTTTTCTTTTAAAAGGTCCTACTGAATGAAAATAAAAGCCTTTCTTATTTCTAATCGATAAACCAAATTTCAAATTGGTAAAATATTAAAATTTTTTTTTTCATTTTCTGCATTTAACACTTTCTTTGGGTATAATATCTTTAAAGATTGAAAAAAATAACATCTTTCCTAATGTTTTAACTGATCCCTCAGAGTTCACTTTAACAGCCTCGCACTATCCTGAAAAATAACTGCAGACAACTTAAAAGTCATACATCTGATCTACAATCAATTATTCCCAACATCACAAATGATCTTAAGTTTTAAATATTTCGCAATAACTTACTTTCCGCTTTTTGGCCGATGATGTTGTTGACACAACAGAGAAAAATGAGTCTAACCGACCCTGAGTAGTTCCTTGGCGGGCTTTTGTTAGCTTCTTAATTCCATTTCTCATTCTGTCCTCACTGGAAAACACATGAAATACAAATAATGGAAAATACTTAACATATAAAGACAAAACTATTCACCATGAACTTATATGTACACATGTCAATATTGTTGTTATATCTATCAGAAATCTTATAAAAATACAAAAAAAATCACTTTGAATAGCTTGAATAAAATATACCTGAAATTTTTCTCTTCGCACATGAACTTAATTAAACCTTCTTCATCTGGTTCTGACCATTTGATCTGAAATATAGATAATCACATACATGTATTGTAATCTCCTTTGTATTCTTTTGGTTCTCTTAATCCATAAATTTTCATGTCCTCAAATACAAAGACTGTCAAAATAATTCTGCAGTTAATTTATTGCATAACAGTGAAAGGAACCAATAAAATTTTCTATCAGCCTTAATTGGTGGTGTAATAGATCAATTATTGTCAGTCCTTAGTTCTGACATTTAAGCCTTTGACCAAGATGGAAAATGTGGTCTAATAGACGGCAAAAAGGTATTGTGGTTAATGAGCAGTTCCAGTGATAGTACTAAGGAGTGATACTGGGGTAACACTGGGGATATCATCACCGCAAACATGTGTTTTCATTTTCAGGACATGTCAGATATTTTAGAACGTAGATTAAAATATACATACGTCTATTTCATCTGGTTCTGTTACCTCCGGTTCTTGAAACAACCGCCGTGCCTCCTGCAAGATAATTGATAAATCATTGAACCATTTCATAACAAAGAGAAATCATGGACATATATATATCAGATATGTTCAGTTCTCTTCTACTACAGAAGGACCAAGTCTGGAAACATTTAAAGTGTTTTCACATTACATGAAAACTTTATACAAAACTTTATAATCAAATATTGCAGTTCCACTTGCACATTAATGATTGTTTTTCTGGCTATTATACAAAATTGCGAGTCATCATATTGGAATAATCACTGCAACTCCAAACAATTCATAATTTTGTACTTAAAGAAAAAGGGAAAACTCAAGTATACCTTGTACATCCAGTCTTCTGGAACTGTATATTTCTGTAAGAAAATAAGAAACTGGAATAAATTGTTCTAGCTATTCAAATATATACTAAAATGTGTGTGCAAAATGATCTTCTAAAACAATTTATATATTCAATGTTATATGTTAAATTAACTTTAAAGTTGAAATTCATCTATTATTATATATACTTTAAAAATCTTTAAAGTTGATATCTCATTTAGCCTTTATTCCTGTTTTTGAGGTATGAATAAATTCAAACCTTAACATCTGTTACAAAAACCTCTGTGTGTCTATATGAATGAAAAACACTTTACATTCAAGAAATCCGCTTGGTGGCAACATTGTATAATCTTTGTTTGTTCTTTAAAAGTTGGAAATCTGCCATTTTTAATTTTCTAATCAGTCTCAAAATAAAAACAGAATTTCCAAGGAATAAGAATCACCTACACATGAAATTTTCAAAAAAAAATCCATCCAGTATTTCTCATGAAATAGTGATAACAAACATTCAAAGTGAAAATAGCCACCTATCAGCCATTTTGCTTTTCTGATGCAACTCAAAACTCCAAAGGGCACAACTACAGACCAAAGGGGAAACTATGTTTTAAAATTTGGGAAAGATCCATCCACTCCTTGAGAATAGCAATCAAACTTTCATAGTTAAAATCAAAGATGGCAATCAATCAGCCATTTTCTTTTTCTGATCAGTGCTGAAATAAAAAGATCCATCCTGTTAATGATAATCTTTTGTTGTTAAAATCCAAAAATTTTCTGATTCCCAAATTACAAGGGCACAACTAGGGGTCATGGGGAACCTGCAAAATATGACTGTCAAAAACCAAGATGGCCACCTGTTGCTGATGTTGTTTTGAGATTGTCCTAAAATGGTCTACTCACAACTAGGGAGCAAGGTACTATGAACTGATCTGAAATTTGTGAATGACTCATTTATTGCTTGTCCAGAAACAGTGATAAAAGGAAGTGGTCAAGGATGGACAAATGACAACAGATGCCAGGCCATTCAATAGCCAACCAATTGATGATGATGGGCCTGTAAATGAAATCCTTACCATTCATCATACAAACCTTTGTGTCTAAATGTTTCAGGATTTCTTCAATAGATTTGTGTTGTTTAATAAGATCAATAGCTCTTTTGGGTCCAATGCCTCGAATTGACTCACAATAGTCACAGCCTAATAGTATGCATAAGTCAATGAACTGGAAGAGATAATATGCTAATTGAACTGCAATATTAAACATGTAGCACTGAATTTATATGTTCAAATATTTTTATTATGTATACTTCATAAAATCAATTACAATTCGTAATATCCCCTTGCTCACCCAAATCTATGTAAGAGAGGTCATTATTCATTTTAATGCCTCCGCTAGGAATCGAACCCGGGACCCCTGGCGTACTAGTCTGACGCTCAACCAATCGAGCTAAAGAGAAGTTCCCTCTAGCCGAGTGGTATATTGCGGCTAGTATTTTACCAGGGTTACATCTATATTCAGAAGAGGATTTCAAATAAAAGCACTGGTATAGAGTTAAACTCACAAGTTATTCAGATCATTAAGGACCCCACAATATAGGGGGAAAGGTGCTGATGGCAGGACTTATAACGTTTTAACAACAAGGCATCAACATCTTGAAGGACATTATTAGGTATAGTCTACCTTTATGTTCAGTACTCCTGTAACCATGCATTGTTTTGCTGTTTGAAGTTGAAAAGTATAAACTTATTAGTACAACAATATGGCTACAATGTTAAGTAACATATGAATTGTGAGGCCAAGACGTGACTTACTTCATCCTTTTCTAATCCAATTTCTTCTAAAATCTTGCTGTAATAATATTCCTTTATCGGTAATTTTCTGTAAAAAAGATACAAAACACTTATACATTTAATTATTAATCAGTATCCTTCCATATCTTACACACATTAGGATGGTATCCTCCCATAACTAATATATATCAGGATGGTATCCTCCCATAACTAACATATATCAGGATGGTATCCTCCCATAACTAACATATATCAGGATGGTATCCTCCCATAACTAACATATATCAGGATGGTACCCTCCCATAACTAACATATATCAGGATGGTATCCTCCCATAACTAACATATATCAGGATGGTACCCTCCCATAACTAACATATATCAGGATGTCCTCCCATAACTAACATATATCAGGATGGTATCCTCCCATAACTAACATATATCAGGATGGTATCCTAACATATATCAGGATGGTATCATAACTAACATATATCAGGATGGTATCCTCCCATAACTAACATATATCAGGATGGTACCCTCCCATAACTAACATATATCAGGATGGTACCCTCCCATAACTTACATATATCAGGATGGTATCCTCCCATAACTAACATATATCAGGATGGTACCCTCCCATAACTAACATATATCAGGATGGTACCCTCCCATAACTAACATATATCAGGATGGTATCCTCCCATAACTAACATATATCAGGATGGTACCCTCCCATAACTAACATATATCAGGATGGTACCCTCCCATAACTAACATATATCAGGATGGCACCCTCCCATAACTAACATATATCAGGATGGTATCCTCCCATAACTAACATATATCAGGATGGTACCCTCCCATAACTAACATATATCAGGATGGTATCCTCCCATAACTAACATATATCAGGAAGGTATCCTCCCATAACTAACATATATCAGGAAGGTCTTGTAAAGGTTTTAAATCATTAGTCCGTATCCTTCCATAACTTGTGTCTTCCCTCACTCTAGTTGTACCAATTTTACGTTTTAAATTATCTTGAAACTTAAATATATATTGTCAAATAAAATATTTACCATAACAGATCTAGAATTCCAATAGTGACACACTGAAATGAGGTAAAAGTTTTAGAATCCATGTGACCACACTAACATATTCATCAATCTCTGATCCACTTATGGAGTCATTCATATACCACATGATTTACGTTCTGAAGCATGTTATGGACATGATAAAGGTCTTACAATATAAAAGCTCACATAAAAACCAGAATGATACATCTGTTCCCATTTCATAAAAGCACAATTACTGCTAAAACTACTTGGAATGCTGCCTTATCCTTTATTAACTACCTTGCCTCGCTGACCGTAAGATTCCTCAGTAAAACATTGGTACCAAATGTGAGAGCATCCATATCTTCTGTACTGGTAGCGTAAACTTTTCCTGCTTTCACCAAAGCTGCACACTGGGCCTCTGCCTCACCTGGAGCCTACAACACCATATCTTGTTCAATATTTCTTGTTTGTTTAAGTTTCCTTTTTTTTTAAATTTACAGTAAGATTGCTTTAAGATACCATTAACGAGTACAACAGCCAGAAATTATTGATGAGTACATCAACTAGTCACCATTAATGTGTACATCAACTAGTCACCATTAATGAGTACATCAACTGGTAACCATTAATGAGTACATCAACTGGTAACCATTAATGTGTACATCAACTAGTTACCATTAATGTGTACATCAACTAGTCACCGTTAATGTGTACATCAATTGGTAACCATTAATGTGTACATCAACTAGTCACCATTAATGTGTACATCAACTAGTCACCATTAATGGGTACCTCACTTGGTGACCATTAATGCATTCAGTGTACCTCATCTAGTCATCCTTAATGCCTACTTCACCAAGTCACCATTAATGTGTACATCAACTAGTCACCATTAATGTGTACATCAACTGACGACCATTAATGGGTAGCTCACTTGGTAACCATTAATTGGACCTATCAACTGGTCACCACTACTAAGTACTTCATCATTAATGGCTTTATGGATGCCTCTTCAGTCACCCTTAATGGGTAGTATACATGATCACAGGGAATCGTTTACCCAACCACAATAACCAGATTTTCAATATTGTTTTCTTTTATTTAAAGTTGGCATTAATAAAAAAAAAGTTGGGTCAGGAAATTGGAAAAATGCCAATTTTCTAATGTGGCCTTACATTGAGTTGTGCAGTCGGTGAAGCATACATAAAGAGGTTGACTATTGTTTCTACTTACTTCAACAAAAGGAATTCCCATGTGTTTAAGAAGAACTTTGCAATCGTCTATGTGCCCTTTGTTCATCTTCACCAATCTTTTGCTGAATTTCTCAATATTTTCTGCATCACCTGTTGTCAAATAATGCAAAAATAAAATAAACATAAAAAAAAAAAAAAACTTGAAGACCTTAAATCAGTTGATAACTACTTGATATTGATTTGTTTCTGTAGTTTTAACAGTTCCACTGAAAAGGTTTTATGAGCTGTAGTTCCACTAAAAAGGTTTTATGAGCTGTAAAGTCATTCCTGAAATGAACATGTCAACCTTAGTTTCCTCCTATCGTCACCCAGGGCTCTCACACCCTATTTTGGGACTGGGGCCCGGGGCCCTTAGAATTGGGAAAAAATAATGGTGTTTTCCTTGGAATTGGAAAACTTGGGACCCAAATTGGGGAAAAAAATATTATTTTGCATTGGGAATGGGGCCGATAATCTGGCAGATCGAGAGCCCAGTCATCCTCTGTAGGGTGATAGTTTACTCCAGTTGTCATCTGCAGAGGGATACAGTTTTCTCCTAATGTCACCTTCTCTTTTCTCATATTATCACAATCTGGCCATAGTTTACTCTGGTAGAATACTCCTACCATCACCCTCTCTAGTGTTATAGTTTACTCGTGTTTTGTTTAATCACTTCCTTTCTATAACAATTTGAAATAGCAGGTCCAATAACACTAAATCCCTGCAATTTTCAAGAAAATCAAAAGGATTAAAATCTAGTGATCTATAGTTAAAGGTATGCACAGATGATGAGACACTAGAGATAAAGACAAAAATCAATGTTTTGCCACTGACATGAAAATGATGGCTGTAAGTGTTGCCAACATACAGGGCCATTATTTATCTGTTTATTTTTAAAACAGATGATTTCCTTGACTGTAGACTATTTTGTATGCCTCCTTGTCATTTTTAACTAGACATGTCAATGTTTGACTTACCTTTTTCCTCAGCCTCAGTCAGAGCTTTCTGTGCCTCATCCCGTTTTTCTTTTCTCTTGGCCAGCTGTCAATTCACACGTAAATCATCATTAGATATTGTCTTTTCTAGACTAGAACTAACGATGCTTTATTATTTAATTATCCATTTGGTTTCAAGTGTTTGTATTTGATACCCTTCTGCATTTGAAATAAAAAAAAAATGTTTTTGTATATATGAAAACAATAGCTCAAAAAATAACCTTACCTCTCCTGATTTCATGTCTGGTGGCTTTCCATCAAATACATAGACAGGCTTGATACCATTCTCAACCATACGGATAGTACGATAGAACATTCCCATCAAATGGCTAGCAATAATAAGTCAAAAACATAATAACATTGAAGGAAGATGTCTAAAACATGAACTCATTAAAAAAAATTTCAACTGTAACCAAATAGAGTGATGGCCACAACCAAAATGCTGCAAATACCAGTGTCAGTGATTTTTCTAGTAGCAGTCAATGCTTGTTTAAATATAGAAAACAGCAGCATTTTTGGCAATGGGAAATAGCCTGGTTTTGGCAGTAAAACAGGGCAAATACTTAACTGAATGCATCTTAAAATATGACCAGCAGAGCAAATACAAGAAATCATTCAAATGGAAAGACAGGAGACAAAGATATACCTTCAAATATATGATTATCAAGAAATGACATTCCTAGATGAAGGAAAGCATTCAATTAAACTACTACCCTGGTTTATCACTTAACACATAAATATTCAGGAATCACAAACATCTGGACTCTGATGACTGGTTTGACTTGACATATATATTACACTATTGTAATGTTTAAGATAAATTCTTTAAAGTGATAAAACTTAACATACTTCATTTCATGATTAATCAATTCATAATTTTTGAAGTGTCCCAGATATTTACCTTTTGCCCAATTTTAACCCTGTATCTTAGTTTCATGATACTATGATAAAGATAATCTTGATATTAACAGATTTATACAATACTACATTGTTACAGTACTTTAAAGTACTTTAATTAAATGTCATAAATCAAAAGATATTGCAATAGAGTAAGAAATCAGGACTTCCTGTATATTACAGACAAAGGCAATGTTACCTGGTGGTCTCTCCATCCTCAGACATCAACTGATTGCCATCCTGACGCACAGCAATGAGAAACTGGTATATGCACATAGAACCATCAACAGCAACCTTACGACCTGCAAAATACACAACCATTCTGAAATGTATAAATCTAGTACTTGGAGATGCAAATTTTGATAATTAATAGTAATGTGAACCAATTGAAGCTGTGACATTGGCAATCCCACTCATTAGAAAATTGCCTGTAAGGTATCCTTACCTACCTTATCACAGCTAACAGGTTGGTAAAATTCAAATATGTCTCAATTTTCTGATAAAATGTTTTGTTGTTATTGACAGTAGGATTGAATAGTGGTATGGTTATCAACAAAAACTTAATATAGTTTAGAATTTTTTTGTGTGGAGATAAGGCCTATAGCTTTATATCCCAGACTGTGAATATGACAAGGTTAGAAAACCACAAATATGTGTATTATATGCAAACTAGTCTGAAATATGAATTTGATACTAATAATAGCCTATATCACTTAAAGTCAGTTTTTTTTTCAAATTTGTTTCCCAAGTTGTCTTTATTTAGTAATGAAACAACATACAACTGCAAAGCTAAAACTGGTTCGCACAGGGGAAAGTAAAAAAATAGATGCAGTATTTTCAACCTTAAATACTTACACTACAGCGGTACAATCGCTAAGACACTGACAATTACATCAATTTTTAAAAAAGTAGCCATCACTTTCAGTATGCACCTTCTAGTAAAAACAGTAACATGAAATGAAAGGATCTCGGAGCGCAGGTGCTCTGCACTTTACCATGTAGCTAACTTCTGTGTTAATCAAACTATGACAACATTTTTGCTCTCCTGAATTTGTTTTACTTTCTTTTAATTATTGCTTAACATAAAAGATTATTTTATTCTCATGAAATTGGCATGAATTAAAATTTCAATAAAACTTGAAGTATTTCCCAACAATTGTGATAGATCAGTCTTCATTTTGTGAACCCCTAACCATTTAACCAAGTTGTATTGTTTTATTTTGTTGATATTTTCAACCGAGAATGTCATTTTGACATACAAGCTTCTCTTTCCATGAACTGCCAGACTCATATCAATAATGCACAAACGTATAGATCACATCTCTGATATAATAAGCCTCTGAACCATGGGAGCTATGTGATGTTGTAGTATTATAATGCTTAAACGCATTCTCCAGCTCTCAGGTCACCAAATAAACACTATCAGATTATGATTGTAGATCTCACACAATAAATCGACATTTACCAAAATAGTTTTTGATTTCATTCTCTTTCATAGATGATGGTGCATAGTCTCCTAAAAGTTTTGATAGGCCTAGAATTCCCATCACGATGTGAAAAACTATTCTTCACTTGTTTTCTTCAGTTGTGTCAAAGAGCTGAGAAAGCACTTCTCCCGCCAAAATATGTCAACACAACAATAATTTTGAGATAGTTTCGTATCTGTGAAATGCAAAAAAAAATCAATACAAAATTACAGATAGATATTCAAATACAATTGCTCTCAAATCAACACATCCTTCTCTTATTTTTCAGTGGTAGAAGTTTCCTTGGTTCAACGAAAAAATTACATTCGAAACTAAGCAATTATTTCACTAACATCTGAAAAGGAAAAATTATCTCCAACTAATGACAAGATGACTACACATATAAGAGTTATCTCCTTTTAAAATCTCGCTGTTCAAAGATATGCAATAGTGATGTGATAATATGCAAAACTGTAATCGAAAAATATCTGTTTAAGTGTTAACACATTTATTCTTCTATGAACCTTAAGTGTACTGTATTCAAATCAACCCCAACGCGACACATTATTGTTATAGTATAAACAATATCATGAACTATTCAAAACACAGAAAACACACTACCCATGCGAAAAGAAAAATGATCAATGTTTTAAAGTAAATTTAAGAAAAAGCAGACATACTTTTTCTTATTAGGCTCATTTGTGCGTTCGATTTAGGCCTGGGAAGTAGCAAGTGCGAGATCGCTCCTTTGTTCTTTAATGTTATCGCACGGCATTTAGTAAGTCGATGTAATAAAGATGGCCGTGTTAAATGACTTGGGATTGATTGGTACAATCAACGAAAACGATAGCATCGATTTCGCAGAGGAGAGCAGCGATAGTGACGATGAGGTTTGAGCTAAGAAGTTTATGCCATTTCTCATTTTATTTGTACATAGTCGAGTACGTTTAAAACGATAATAGCATACACTGCCATGTGGCCCGCACGTGGCGATGTTTATGTTCAGCAGTAACCTATTTTGACGGATAGGAAAAGTTAAATCGAGAACTTCTCCGTTCTTTTGCTGGACAGTGAATTGAAGAAATTAAAAAGCATGGGAATGACATTGTTTTACCGCCAGAATAATATTTGAAGTAAACTATTTTGACGGATATTGGTGACAAATGGACAAACTGTCAAATCATTAAACTATCTAATTTTACTGGACAGAAAATTTAGAAGATTTAAAAAATATTGATTAACATTTCTTTACTGTCAGTAATCATAATCATGATTGAATACAGAAACGATTAATAAACTTAAAAAATGTCTCATCTAACATTTTAGAAAAATTGTTTATTGTTCTCTTCAAGATATTTTTGCTTTTTTTGATTTTTAGGATGCTGTTAAAATTTCAAAGAAAAAGAAAAAGAACAAAAAACTAGCAGACGAATTCAATGCCAGTTTTGTTTTCACTGACCAGCAAGATTCACAGACAGCATTTAAAGTAGATTATGGCTTAAAAATTCAACGAAAAAGACAAGATGAAACCTCCTTAGACGAGAAAATTGCAAAGGCACGAAAGAAAATAAAGAGGGAAGTGAGTATTCCTGTTGGTGACATTCAATGTAATGGCCATATATGCTAGACTTGTTTCTGATTGCAAGAAGGTAAAAGGTTTGATAAAAGGTAGATTCTTATTGTATTATTAATTACTCTGGCATTCTATCAACCTTAATACAGTAAATCTTTAGTCAGTTCAAACAAAATAAGTTAAATGTTGTTCGAATTACACAGAATTATCTTTGTGAAAATAAGAGTTCAAACTATCAGAGTTGACATTGCCCAAAATCATAACAAAAAGTCTAAAGGTGTCCTAGTAAGAAAGGAAACTACAGATCAGAAATGGCATTTTCTGGGATGAAATGTTGATTACAGAATTATCACTATTTGAAACAGTTACTGTACTGCAATACATGTTAATAGACTGTTGAGAAATCATAGATTTCATTTTGATCTTCAATAATATTGGATACTGTGACGAAGTTTTGACATATCAGTATGCGGAGTGTGGATTGAGACTTAATGTGACTATGGGTTGATGTCGGAAAGAAATTGTCCTTTTTTGAAAGAACTATTCTCAAGCTACTTCCTATTTTTCCATTATCACGCTTTTAGGTCATCTGACCCAAAGGGACAAGATGACCTTTTGCTATCATGTGCTGTCTGCTATCGTCCACAGTCTCTAAACTTTTCCTTTAAAACACTATTCCTGCTTAACACCTCAGCAGATTGCAACCAAATTTGGTCAGAAACATCATGTAGTTAGACAATACTTTGTTTCAAATCACTTCTCTTCCTCAAAACTTGAATGGATTTAATTCATATTTTGTCAGAAACACAAAGTTAGTCAATATTTTGCTTCAAAATGCTACTCTTTCATAATACTTGAATGGATTTCAACCAAATTTAGTCTGAAACATCATTGAGGGTAGTGAATTATTTCTTAAGTTCAAAAATTTGATTTTACCCTGACGGACATGGAGATGGGAATTGGTCCCAAATGAGGAAGTTAGTAAATATTTTGCTTCAAAATGCTACTCTTCTGTAAATGCTTGAATAGATTTCAACCACATTTGATCTGAAATATCATTGTGGATGGGGAATTATTTTCTAAATTCAGAAAGTTGGTTTGACTTGTAGGAACTTGGGGGGGGGGGGGGGAGTTTTCCTGAAGGGAAAAGTTTGACATTACTCTTACTTAATACTTGAATGTATTTCATTCCAATTTTGCCTAAAATATAGTTAAAGGTGGCCAATTAATTCTTAAATTCAGTAAGTTGATTTCACATTCAGGGACTTAGGGGTGGGGCCCCAAAAGGGGAAGTTAGACAATGTTTTGCTTTAAATGCTACTCCCTCTTAATTTCTGGGTGGATTTGATCTAGATTTGGTCTGAAACATTATTAGGGAGTGGCAGTGATATCAAACATGCATGAAGTGATCCTGAGATTGTCCTGACAAAACCTTATTTTTTAGATTTGGTCCAAAATCCTACATAACTCATCTTGAAGAAATAGTTTAAGCTACTTTTTGAGGTTTCATTCACACCTTTGGGGAAAATATTTGCAATTTAATTTGTAACAGAAAAAAAAAATGAAAAGTTTTTATTTTTCAGCCTAGTCAAAATTTCAACATGGTGGCCACAGCAGCAATATGTAGTGTGATTTTCATGAACAAAACCTGCCATTTATGAGTTTCTGATAGTTTCTAGGAATGTTAAAAATCTGAATTCATTAGATTTGTCAGACCACCATCAGCAAATTATGTAGTCTGTCCAACCATCTATCAATTATCTGATGACATTTAAGGACCATGGACCTCTTGATTTTTTTTAAACAAAGTGAATGCTTATTGATTCAAGTATTTGTATCTTGTTTTCCAGAAGAAAGATGACGATATTGAGAGTGGAGATGAAGAGATAGAAGAAGATGTATCTTCTGACGAGGAAATGATGACTGGTAATGAAGAGTGACACTATTTTTACCAAATTACAATGGTAGATATGATATGTGCCTAGTCATGTATACCCTGTCAGATTTCTGGAAACCATGTTAATATCTCTAAAAATGAAAATAGAACAACAGGAGAACCAAAATGAAATGAAATTGACTTCATGCAAGAGCAAAAAGGTCAGAAACTGTATACATAGCCATGTGTTAGCACAATATGTAGATATGATTTTGAAGCATCTGTATACACAATGATCAGTATTTGTAGATTTCAGGTTAAGACAGATATAATTGTATGTAAATTTTGTACGTTGTTTTATGTGTTAGACACTGTTAAAACAAAAGAAAAAAAGAAAAAGAAACAGAGAAAGAAGAACCAAGATAATGACAGTGAAGAGGTGAGTGATATTTGTTAGCTAAATGGCAACATCTGCATTGTGATGTCATCCATAATTAAGATATAGAATGTCAATTTCGATTTTGATAAGTCTAACAAAATTCTTTAATTGATGTTAGTTATGTGATAAATAAAATCTTATATCAATTCCATTTTATGTGAGATTTAAGAAACTTATTACAGTTTTTTCATTTTAGAATAAAAATCTCTAGACTGGTTTCATACATCTCATACAAACTGGAAAATCAGAAAGATCCTTGTAAGATGATGACTCAATGGAGATAAAAATGGATTATATGATAGCTTAATGACTAATTAATGAGCTTTGATTTTGATCATTTTAATCATGTACACATTGGGATTTGCAAGTTTTTTATGATACTTTTGGCTTATTCTGATGATGGGGAGAAGATATCTGATTCAGAACTGTTCAACTGATTTAAATCACATGATCACCACAACAAATGTCAGATTGTCCTTTAAAAACATGTCAATGCTAATATTTGTAAAGAACTTTCAACATTTTAAAGGATAAAATACCTTTTTCTACAAATAAGGTCCTCACATTATGGCTCTATATGTATTTCTACTGGTGCTCAGGGGATGGGCTTATTGTGTGACACTGAAATAGCAATATACATGTATATTGATAGGCTTATTTCCAAACATTACCAATACATACACAATTCATATTTCTGACCCACAGGAGCAGGAAAAGATTGAGTTTTCAGAATGCATTGACACATTTGATGACAGTGTGAGCTTCAATGATATGAATATTTCCAGACCACTAATGAAGGTAAATCACTGATTGCATTGTGGAATGAAATTTGTCCATACTCATCATATCTTAAGTTGATAACTTTTTCAGGACCAAGCATGAAAAATGCAATACTCTTTCACCTTTGTTTAATGTTGACAGAGTTAACATTTTTAAGTTTTAAAGCCTCAAGGGTTAAAGAATTTGTCCATGTCACACAAGTAGAGTCTTAAATAACTCTGTCTATGTCACTCAGAGGCAATTGATTATTTTTCTTCCTTAATTTCCTATCATGTTTAGTTGGAAGTTGTTTTCATACTAATTAATTACTATACTACATTAAGGAAGTATCCTTCCTTTACTGTTTTATACTACATTAATAACTGATGAAATGTGTGTTAGAAATGTTATTGAACTGCGACATGGGTCCATGGTCCTACTACCTGTTATGTTGTCATTCATTTGGTCTGGCTATTAACTACACTTAATCCTTGGTTATGAACCAGGATAGCTGGAGTATGCTGACGTCGAAGGTTTCAGAGGGTGACAGTTGACACAAGTTCACTTTAAAATCCCTTAATTAGAAAATCCTTCAGATAGTGTTGAACGAGAATTTGACTCTAATACTTGGTAACATGCAGATGATTTTTTTTCTACAGGGATTGGCAAACATGAATTTTGAGAAGCCAACACCCATTCAGGGAGCTACTATACCAGTGGCACTGCTTGGCAAGGACTTGTGTGCTTGTGCTGTAACAGGCTCTGGTGGGTATCTACACACAACTTAGTAGTCAACTTTAAGAAAAGCATATGACCATCTATCCCTATATTCATCAAAGGAAGTAGCCTTAACTCATGAAATTATCCTCTGTCATAGGATTCAATGTACCAATACGATTTTTAGGTCCTTTTACACAACCATTGCTATACAATGTCTGCCATGCAAAAGTTTTTCACATTTCAAATTTTGTCTCAATTTTGATCTATGGAATTCAGCTCAAGCTTGCATGTTATGATCTTGAGATAGTCCTGACCAAGTGTTTAATTTCGTCAGTTCAAAATCCATTTTGCCAACATGGCCACCATCTTGAAAAACACATTTTTTAACTTTCCAAGTTCTACTTTAACAGCTGCAGCAACCATTTTGTAGCACAATTGTGTAATCATGAATTTTCTTAACAACATCTATTTCAAATTTATCAAATCCCACCAGTGGGATTCACTTGCCTGAAATGATCCTGAGTTAGTCTGGACCACAACGGTCAAAAATTCAATAAGACTTTACCACTAAAATCAATGGCTTTTTTGTTCATAATCAGGGGAGATAACTACAAAATCTCTGTCTTAATGAGAGGATTCAACTCAAATTTTATTTATCATAATGAAAGGATTCTAATCAAATACAATTTAGCTTAATTAGGGCACTCCTAACAGATAAAGTTTGTCATAACGAAGGGATTCTAACAAGATAGAAAGGAAGGATAATGATGGGGTTCAAATAAGATATTTATCTTACGCAGGGAATTAAAATTAGACGACATTTGTCTTAATGAGGGGATTCTAATAAGATCATATTTATCTTAGTGAGGGAATTTAAATCAGATAAGATCTATCTTAATGGGGGGATTCAAATAAGATAAGATTTTTCTATGAGGAAATTCTAATAAGAAAAGATTTACCTGAATTGGGAGGGGGGATTCAAATCAGGTCCAATTTATCTTAATGAGATAAATTCAAATCAAATAAGATTTGTCTTAATGAGGGGATTAAACTCATATAGGAATTATTTTCAAAAGGGAATTCAACATAGATATGTTAACTTCAATTAAGGGAAATTTCTCAAGTTATCTTAATGAATTCAACTCAGAAAAGATTGATCTCACTTCAGGTATTGAACTCAAATTTATTTAAGACAATTTCTTTCTTGTTATTTTATGAAAATATTATATTTTTAAATGCTTTAGGTAAAACTGTGGCATTTATGCTACCAATCCTGGAACGACTGCTATACAAACCCAAACAGGATGCTGTGACACGTGTCATCGTTATGGTGCCCACAAGAGAACTGGCTATCCAGGTGTTTACTGTTGCGAAGCAACTTGCCCAGTATACCCAAATACAGATCACACTATCTACAGGTATGTTATCTCTAATGATTGTTCCTGTTAAATACCATATTAACACCTTTTAGTGGGAGACACTTTTGATGGATGTTGCATTTAGATCCAATTCAGAGGCCACATTTAGTAAGCACTTGCCTGGAAAGACCACTGGTTTTGACTCCCAATGTAATTCTGTTCAGTGAAATTGAACCTCTTTATCAAGGTTACCTGCATATAGAGGATTCATTTTCAGCTTTTTAGAGTGGTCTTTATTGACAGGTTTGACTTCGTATTAAAAACTAAAATAATCCAAAAGATTTGAATGAGGACATGTATATGAAATCTGACTTTAACAGCTAGTAACATAGGTTGATTGAATGAATTACAGTTGATAACAATGACATTCTTAGTTGTCTGTTTTACAGGTAAAAGATTGAAATATTTGCATTTTTAAGAAAAGTTAGTACCTAATACATATACCTGTTACCATAAATGTAATAGATATTGTGTATACTTTAATGTAGGTGGTTTGGACCTGAAGGCACAGGAGGCAGCACTGAGATTGAACCCAGATATTGTAATAGCCACACCTGGACGTCTCCTTGACCATCTGCAAAACTCTCCTAACTTTGGACTCAACAGCATAGAGATCCTTGTCCTGGACGAGGCAGACAGGTAAATATAGAGATAATTGACGAAGACAAGGAACAAAGGTAGACATAATGATCAACGTCTAAGGTGAGACACATGAGTAAACATAAAGATCCTTGTGTAGACACGGTAGACAGGTCAGGACAGGTAAACATAGAGATCCTTGTCCTGGATGAGGCAAGACAAGGAACGTGGGTAGACATAGAGATCCTCGTCCTAGATGAGACACATGGGTAAACATAAAGATCCTTGTGTAGACACTGTAGACAGGTCAGGACAGGTAAACAGAGATAATTGATGAAGACAAGGAACGTAGGTAGACATAAAGATCCATGTCCTAGATGAGACACGGTAGACAGGTCAGGACAGATAAACATAGTGATCCTTGTCCTGGATGAGGCAGACAGGTAAACAGAGATAATTGACGAAGACAAGGAATGTAGGTAGACATAAAGATCCTCGTCCTAGATGAGACACATGGGTAAACATAAAGATCCTTGTGTAGACACTGTAGACAGGTCAGGACAGATAAACATAGAGATCCTTGTCCTAGACAAGGTAGACAGATAAACATAGAGATCTTTGTCCTAGACAGATAAACATAGAGATCCTTGTGTAGACAAGGTAGACAGATAAACATAGAGATCCTTGTCCTAGATAAGGTAGATGGATAAACATAGAGATCCTTGTGTAGGCAAGGTAGACAGATAAACATAGAGATCCTTGTCCTAGATAAGGTAGATAGATAAACATTGAAATTGTCAACCTAGAAAAGTCAGATAGCCTTGTACAAGACAGAGAGGTAAGTATAGAGACCCTTGTCTAGATAACCTTGCCTCTGTCCCTCAGTGATGTTACAACAATTAGTTGGCTTAACTAATGAAACAATTTTGTGATGTTCCAGAATGTTGGATGAATATTTTGCGGAGCAGATGAAAGAAATCATTCGACAATGTTCCCGCACAAGGCAAACTATGTTGTTCTCAGCTACCATGACAGAAGAGGTAACAATACAGCTATAGATTAAAAGTCAGGTTCTCGTGGATAAGTATAGGTCAAGGTCACTCTACTAGAGTCACATTACCTTATCATTTTAAATGGGAACAAGTTAAGACCACTAAACCAAATTCACATAGCTCGTTTTCTTTTTAGTCACTAGAAACGGATCAAGTCAACCTTACATACCTGAATTTGCTAGTTATATGTAGATACTCACCATACAGGTAGATACTCACCATACAGGTAGATACTCACCATACAGGTAGATACTCACCAAACAGGTAGATACTCATTATACAGGTAGATACTCACCATACAGGTAGATACTCACCATACAGGTAGATACTCAGGTAGATACTCACCATACAGGTAGATACTCACCATACAGGTAGATACTCACCATACAGGTAGATACTCACTATACAGGTAGATACTCACCATACAGGTAGATACTCACCATACAGGTAGATACTCACCATACAGGTAGATACTCACCATACAGGTAGATACTCACCATACAGGTAGATACTCAGGTAGATATTCACCATACAGGTAGATACTCACCATACAGGTAGATACTCAGGTAGATACTCACCATACAGGTAGATACTCACTATACAGGTAGATACTCCGGTAGATACTCGCCATACAGGTAGATACTCACTATACAGGTAGATACTTGCCATACAGGTAGATACTCACTATACAGGTAGATACTCACCATACAGGTAGATATTCACCATACAGGTAGATACTCACCATACAGGTAGATACTCACCATACAGGTAGATACTCACCACATACAGGTAGATACTCACCATACAGGTAGATACTCACCATACAGCTAGATACTCACCATACAGGTAGATATTCACCATACAGGTAGATACTCACCATACAGGTAGATACTCACCATACAGGTAGATACTCACCATACAGGTAGATACTCACCATACAGGTAGATACTCAGGTAGATATTCACCATACAGGTAGATACTCACTATACAGGTAGATACTCACTATACAGGTAGATACTCACCATACAGGTAGATACTCACTATACAGGTAAATACTCACCATACAAGTAGATGCTCACCATACAGGTAGATGCTCAGGTAGATGCTCACCATACAGGTAGATGCTCACCATACAGGTAGATACTCACCATACAGGTAGATACTCAGGTAGATACTCACCATACAGGTAGATACTCACCATACAGGTAGATACTCACTATACAGGTAGATACTCAGGTAGATACTCACCATACAGGTAGAAACTCACTATACAGGTAGATACTCACCATACAGGTAGATAAGGTAGATAATCACCATACAGGTAGATAATCACTATACAGGTAGATACTCACTATACAGGTAGATACTCAGGTAGATACTCACCATACAGGTAGATACTCACTATACAGGTAGATACTCACTATACAGGTAGATACTCACTATATAGGTAGATATTCAGGTAGAAACTCACCATACAGGTAGATACTCACTATACAGGTAGATACTCACCATACAGGTAGATATTCAGGTAGATACTCACCATACAGGTAGATACTCACTATACAGGTAGATACTCACTATACAGGTAGATATTCAGGTAGATACTCACCATACAGGTAGATGCTCACCATACAGGTAGATACTCACCATACAGGTAGATACTCACCATACAGGTAGATGCTCACCATACAGGTAGATACTCACCATACAGGTAGATGCTCACACTACAGTTAGATACTCGCCATACAGGTAGATACTTGCCATACAGGTAGAGATACTCAGTATTTGAAAGTGAATGAACATGAAAGTCAAGGTGCACTTATATGAAGGTCAAAGACACTAATGAAAAGGTCAAGGTGACCTGAATTAAAAGTCACTGAACCATATCTTTGCAGATTACAATCCAGAGGGCACCATAAACAATGTGGTCATGCTAATATCATATCCATCATTTACACTCTAATTAGCCTCCAAACAGTGGTGAATTACACTATCCAAAATGTTTCCACGCCAGAATATTAATGCAGTATTTCCTTGTAGATTGAGTATCTGGTTAGGACATATTCTATTATCACATTGGAAATGGGTTTAGACGGATATTGAATTAAGCTCTGTACATGCATTCCTATGTACATTGATTCATCCATGCTTGGGTATTTTCCACACAATAGCAAGAAACAAACTTTATAGTTACCATTGTGCCATAAGTGCATTTTGCTTTTGAGAATTTCTCCAGTTAAATACTTCTTTTTGTTACATTGGAAACAAAAGGGAAAAAAATACAAATTTCATTTGTATGAAACATGTCCATAAAATCCTGGAACTTGTACAGCTGTTCAGCCAGCATTCTGAGAGTGTCATTTGCTATTGAGAAGTTCTCAATTGTTTTTATAATTTTTGGTTACCATGGAAACAAGCAAAATGACAAGTTTTGCTGTGTCTAAAGTAAAATATTCAGACTTTTTGAGATAAGTATCGATACTTTGCCCACTTATCATCTATTACTTAATGGTGACTTAGTGATGGAGGAGTTATCATTTTTTCTTATTACCATGGAAACAGATCAGAAATAAAATGTTTTAAGGGTTTCATGGCAACCAAAATTTCCAAGAACTACCTGAAACTTTGTACAAGCTAGTGCTTGCTTTGTGCATTTTGCTACTGGGGTTGTTTTGACTTTGGATATTTCTCTTTCTGTTGTCTGTTGGAAATTAGCATCAATCATTGGGAAAGTTTTCAAGTTTTATAAGTTACCGTCCTATTTATATATATCCCATGATAAATAATACATCAAAGTTTATTGATTATTGTTGTTATAATTTATTCGTAAATGATGCCACACCATACTCAAAAACATATCAGTAAAAGATGGTCTACATCAAAATATCAGTAACAGTGATGGAATGGAGTTAATACCTGTTATTGTGATATTTATAAATATTATTGTATATCTTTCTGTTAAACATTGGGGTGTGGGGGATAATGCTTTGCTTTATCTTGTTTTAAGATTTCTATCATATTTGTAATTATTTGTTATTATTGTTTGATATTTGTTTATTTACCATTTTATTGTTTGATATTTGTTGTTAGGTAAAAGACTTGGCAGCAGTTTCTCTGAGGAATCCTGTGAAAATCTTTGTCAATGAAAGTACAGATGTGGCTCTTGGCCTTCGTCAGGAGTTTGTGAGAATACGTCCCAACAGAGAGGGTGACCGTGAGGCCATTGTAGCAGGTAATTCTTCCTAGTCTAGGCACCAGGAGACATTTAAGCTCGTCTTTTACATTGACATGCCTTCACTTGATAATATACAAACTTTACAATTTTGTTAAAATTGCTTGTCATTTTGATGAACATGATTTAAACCTCAAAATGTAATAAATCATGACTGGAAATTGACTGTTTGAATCAAGTATATGACATTCTAAATTTTATGTTTCATTTTGGAGATTTTGATTTGTAAATATAGAACGGATATGATATCCGTGAAAATCAATGCTTCCAGCAGCCCATCTTTACTTGTTTTCTATATTGTAGCTCTAGTGAGCAGAACATTTCGCGACCAGTGTATCGTGTTTATACAGACAAAGAAACAGGCACATCGCATGCACATAGTCCTTGGACTTTTAGGAGTGAATGTAGGCGAGTTACACGGCAATCTCTCACAGGCACAGGTAAGATAATGTTGAGTTAAGTAATGCGAGTTAAGATTATATCAGGTTAGATAAGATAAGGTAAGATAACATTGAGTTCAGTAATGCGAGTTAAGATTATATCAGGTTAGATAAGATAAGATAAGATAACATTGAGTTAAGTAATGCGAGTTAAGATTATATCAGGTTAGATAAGATAAGGTAAGATAACATTGAGTTAAGTAATGCGAGTTAAGATTATATCAGGTTAGATAAGATAAGGTAAGATAACATTGAGTTAAGTAATGCGAGTTAAGATTATATCAGGTTAGATAAGATAAGGTAAGATAACATTGAGTTAAGTAATGCGAGTTAAGATTATATCAGGTTGGATATGATAAGATAAGATAACATTGAGTTAAGTAATGCGAGTTAAGATTATATCAGGTTAGATAAGATAAGATAACATTGAGTTAATTAATGCGAGTTAAGATTATATCAGGTTAGATAAGATAAGTTAAGATAACATTGAGTTAAGTAATGCGAGTTAAGATTATATCAGGTTAGATAAGATAAGATAAGATAACATTGAGTTAAGTAATGCGAGTTAAGATTATATCAGGTTAGATAAGATAAGATAACATTGAGTTAAGTAATGCGAGTTAAGATTATATCAGGTTTGATAAGATAAGGTAAGAAAACATTGAGTTAAGTAATGCGAGTTAAGATTATATCAGGTTAGATAAGATAAGGTAAGATAATGTTGAGTTAAGTAATGTGAGTTAAGATTATATCAGGTTAGATAAGATAAGGTAAGATAATGTTGAGTTAAGTAATGCGAGTTAAGATTATATCAGGTTAGATAAGATAAGGTAAGATAATGTTGAGTTAAGTAATGCGAGTTAAGATTATATCAGGTTAGATAAGATAAGGTAAGAAAACATTGAGTTAAGTAATGCGAGTTAAGATTATATCAGGTTAGATAAGATAAGGTAAGATAATGTTGAGTTAAGTAATGCAAGTTAAGATTATATCAGGTTAGATAAGATAAGATAATGTTGAGTTAAGTAATGCGAGTTAAGATTATATCAGGTTAGATAAGATAAGGTAAGATTATTTGTGTTTTTGTTGGCAAGTCTACATATATTAGTCCTACTGACATTTTTATACGTTCATAGCCTAAATAGAGAAAATACCTCGAGCTCCTGTTTTATAATACTTCATTATTGCTATTAATATATGTATGTCTGCTTCTCCTTTATGAAACAGCGATTAGAGACTCTAAAAAAGTTCAAGCTCGGTGAGGTAGATGTTTTACTGGCTACAGATCTGGCAGCTAGAGGTCTGGACATACAAGGTGTGAAAACTGTAAGTACCTACTACCATGTAAAACCAGATGTATGTGTACAAAGCTTTGGATATTATTCAAAAGTCTAAAAATGTATTGTTACTTTAAAGTATATGTATCCTATTTCAACAATTTAAATGTCACAGTTGTTTTCTGACAGAACCTGTCCTATGAAGTGTTTGCCTTTTATCATCAGCATATTTTTGTATAATATGTTATCAGATATTGGGATGAGCTCTCCCCACAACTTTTATCACAAGGCTACACCAGAATATTTTTAGACTGTTTTTTACCAGTTATAGGTCCATTCATTGGAGGACGCCCTCCCCACAACTTTTATTATAAGGCTGCACCAGAATATTCCTCTGTAATTAATTCATCCAGTAACTTTTAATTTATCAATGACAATTTATCTCCTACTTTCTGTTTCATTGATTTTTTGATGGATAGTTTTCATTCTAACCTGACTCACTATGTTAATGTAACTTAAGTATTTTCAACCATTTTCCAGAAAAAGCGAAAATAAAAAATGTTGATTGATGATGTACATCCAAATACACCCAAGCATTCAAACAATTATGATGAACTCGTCTGTCTGATGAAGGTTGCCAAAACAGACGACTGCTTTCCTTAAAATTTCTCAGCATGAACGGCCTTTATCTGATTATTTTGGATCATGTAACAGGACCATTGTTGTTTGCCTTTATTACCAGTTGACAATCAACCTGATTCCCTTTAGTGTTGGGGTAAACATGATTAACTGTTTTACTTTGCCTGTAGCTTCAGGAAAGAGGTTGTGTTGGTTCCAACACCTCAGTTTGACTGCTGACTGATCAGACATGTGACAAGTGTATAGTACAGTTCATTCTGTAACAGATTTTCACATAAATTTCTTCACCCCTATTTAGGTGATAAATTTTACCATGCCAAACACGACAAAACACTACGTACATCGAGTGGGAAGGACAGCTCGTGCCGGACGGAAGGGCAGGTATGTTTACATTTATCATAGAATGTGTAAAATATTAAACATAAAAGATGTTAGTTCTACATCCAGTAGGGAAATATTTAGTACCTAATCACTGAAGTAGAGTAGACATTCATATTTTAGCGATAGTCTTTATTTTTATGGTTCTGTCACCAAGTCACCTGATTTCATCAGGTCAAAAAGATATTGACCCTATAATGACCTGCTTAAATCTTGTAAAACACTACAATCACCTGATACTTCACCGCTTTTTATCAGTATTCGGAAATCTCAAATTCAATTTCTTCATCTGATATTCTAAAATAATTTTCAAGCATTTAAGCGTTACATAGAACAGTATTTAAAACTTATACAATAGTATTGACAACTTACCTAATGACCCTTTAACATCCTGTCACCTTTGATTTTGAAGCCCATGACCAGATATTATTTGGCGAGAGGTTGGTGACATGCTATGATTGCATTTGTTACAGTTTCTGTATGTTGTTGTTGCATAAATTCATTGCTGCAATAATTTTCCATGGAGTGATAATGCACAAAAATAACAAGGCTGATGGACTTTGAAATAATGTATATCATAACATGTACTCTGGTTTACTGTATAACATGACATGGCCGATGGATTAGGAATTGTTGTATAACATGACATAACTGATAAACTAAGATTTGCTGTATAACATGACATGGCCGATGGATTAGGAATTGAAGTATAACATGACATAACTGATAAACTAAGATTTACTGTATAACATGACATGGCTGCTAGACCGTGGTTTACTGTTTAACATGACATGGTTGATAATTTATGCTGTGTGTGTATAACATGACGTGGTTCCTGAACCATGATCAATTGTAGAATATTACATTGCTAATTTGAGATATTATAGTGATATTGTTAAATTGTATATTTACACTGAAAATATAACACATGTTATATGTACAAAGTGTTTATTGACACCGTAAATATAACCTATGTTATATGTACAAAGTATATATTGACACTGTAAATATAACCTATGTTATATGTACAAAGTATATATTGACACTGTAAATATAACCTATGTTATATGTACAAAGTATATATTGACACTGTAGATATAACCTATGTTATATGTACAAAGTATATATTGACACTGTAAATATAACCTATGTTATATGTACAAAGTATATATTGACACTGTAAATATAACCTATGTTATATGTACAAAGTATATATTTACACTGTAAATATAACCTATGTTATATGTACAAAGTATATATTGACACTATATATAACCTATGTTATATGTACAAAGTATATATTTACACTGTAAATATAACCTATGTTATATGTAAAAAGTATATATTGACACTAAATATAACTTATGTTATATGTACAAAGTGTATATTTACATTGTGTTGCTCTTCTTTAAAAAATGGAATGAAGTTTAAATGTATTTGTTCTGTTATCAGGTTCACATATAATGTTTATACATGTTTTGATGGTTTATGATAACAGGTCTGTGACATTGGTTGGTGAGCAGGAGAGAAAGATACTTAAGGAAATTGTTAAACAGGCCAAAACACCGCTTAAAACCCGCATAGTGCCACAAGGTATTTTTTGTCAGAGTATCAGTGAGAGTTGTGGTCAGTAGCTCCAGGAAATGATGCCGGTGAAAAATGGTGTAGAATTGTCATATTGACACAGAACAATCCAGTGAATTTTTTTATATATATCAACTGGTTTGAGGTTTACTCTACCAGTTAGATTTAAACTTTATGCTATGAAAATTTCTTCTTGTATGATAACAAAGCTCAATTGAAACTTATTTGAGACCAAAATGATCACAGATCTTTCTTAATTTTCTTTGATTATATAGGATGTTTCTTAAAAGATTACATAAGTAAATAGTAAATTTATTTTGAAATTTACAGAGGTGATCACAAAGTACCGGGACCGTATTAGTCGTATGGAGAAGGAGGTCGCTCAGATCGAGGTACAGGAAAAGGAAGAACGTGAGCTTCGTGCTACAGAGAACCATATGAATAAGGCACAGAACCTTCTCAATGCAGGAGGGGAAGTGGCCCCTAAAAGGGGCTGGTTCCAGACTCACAAGGACCGTATGCAGGAGAAAGGTACCAAGGCTGTATTTCATCAAGTTCTGAAGACTTTGTACTACTTGTAAATGTTCAGCAAACCTGTAGAAACAATTTTATTTAATGTGAGATAGCCTTGGTACATTGTACCTCATGTTCGAGGAATACCACATTGTACCTCATGTTCGAGGAATACCAACAGAGTATGTCCCCTGGCCATGAAAGCATGAACCTTATCACTTAATGTCTGCTTGTCATTTTCAGTCTTCTAGGTAGATCATTACCTTTCAGTTAATCACAGCTTGGTAAAGACCTGTGTCTAAAGTGCTGTTTGTTTTCGGGTAATTTTTTTTAATAAAAAAAGACATCTTTTTGTGGATGGGAAATGGGTTGATTGTGTTTGGTTTATCTGAATGTTTACAAGATTATGAGAAATATTCCTTTGTTTATTTCCTTGTTTATACAGGGAACTTAAATAGCTTCGTGTATCAGTGTTTAAGATACCAAAGCCCACTATAATCATTCTTGAGAAGTACTGGATGGATCCTTCACAATTTTCATATGTAGGTTCCTCTTGGTCCCAAGTTGTGCCAGTTTGATTTTGGTACTGATCACAAAAACAAAATGGCTGACAGATGACCATCTTAGATTTGGCAGTTAAAAATTACTATCGTTATCAATATTTTTAAAAAGAAGAAATTTCACATCGTTAATTTGAAAATCTAAGTGAAGATTAGAAAAGAAGGGTACAGCTCCCAACTTTTGATGAACGTATAAAGACCAAACAATGGTTGGCACCACGATCCCTCGAAGATCGGGGGGTGAATGTTTATGTCATTAGTGGTGTTCATGTCTTTTATCTTATTTTCTAGAAACATTACGACTTGGAAAGTTTTCTGGAACTGGAACTAATAAAAAGATGGCAAAGAAAAAGAAGACAGTAAGTTGTGTTTGTTTACAAATTGTATAAAGAATTAGAAAAGGTTTGTTTTTTGGGATTGTCTAGACCAGAGTACTACTGATGTCATTTTCCCCCATTACCTTTTTTCTTCTTTCATTAAAAAAAGTGGGGGGGAAGTCTCAGAAACGGACAAATTCTCAAAGTAGGGGATAAAACTTAAAAAATAAGTGTTGTGTATCTTGTCTCTGGGATCACTTTTGATCCATTTTTAACAAACCCTTTTGAGTTCTCCCCTAGTTCCTGCCTCTGGGTAAAATCTGAGGCCAGAATGATCAGCTGTATTCATCCCAAAATTCATTTACATATATTTTCCTACATGGTTAGTATTCCCTAATTCTTAGTTTTATCCTTGATAACATGAACATGGAAAAATTAAATAGGTATAAATATGATAATACTTAACTTTCAATATCTCAACATTTCAGCTTTTCTGCATTGTCTTTTATATAAGTTGATTAAAGATTTACTAGCAGTCCGAGGATGTTGTGTTCGAGCTTATATTGACTTGTTTTAACACTGTTTCCTCAACAGTCGGAGGACCGAGTCCTTCACGAGCTTTCAAAGTCACATCTTTACTCCACCAAGTCCTTAAAAAAATCATACCGGCCACAGAAACTTCGGGTACATAACGAGGATGACACATCAGGTAAGGAAAATATGAAGATAAAGGATCTCACCTGTGTGTCAATGTGATGTGGAATTCTGGGAATATAGGAATAATTTGATATATCATGAACATTAAATATCAAACTATTTATCAATTTCAATGGATTCCATATTACACTGACAAGAAGGTAAGATTCTATTTATCTTATAACCCATATTTTCAAAAAATGAGTAAAAACTCTCAAATGAATTTCCCGATAAGACCAACTCATCCTGACACAGTCACTTTTTTATGCCCAATCATGTGACATCATCAAGATGTGAATCGTTACAATAGTGTTACTACACTTGTGTTTTATGATATTTATCAAATGGCAGTATAACAAGATACAACAGGCCAGTTATGTGATTATAAATTTTAACCGTCCGCCCCATCATAACTTTAGCAGTTCTGTTGTTCACATTTTTCTTGTGATATTAACAAATGTTAAATGAAAACATGAATGAAAAAGATCCTTGTAATAAAAAATATTTGAAAAAAGCATTGTGCACCAAAACTATTTAATATGTTTAAAGATAAATGGAAAAAACAACATATCCAGGAAGCTTCAATTTGTGTATACCCCCAGTATGTCTTTTTCTTGCTGCCAGGTCAATCTAAGAATAATAAGAAAAAGAATAAAGGACAGAAAAGGAAGTCAGCCTTCGATCGGGAACTCACAGACACCGGCAAGTCAGCTGTCAAGAAGTTTAGGGCTGGGTAAGTTTGTAGTATGTGTGTGATGGAGATCAACTTTGTATTTGCTTCTCTCCATGTTAGTATCAGATTTAGGGCTGGGTAAGTTTGTAGTATGTGTGTGATGGAGATCAACTTTGTATTTGCTTCTCTCCATGTTAGTATCAGATTTAGGGCTGGGTAAGTTTGTAGTATGTGTGTGATGGAGATTTGTTTCTTTCCATGTAAGTATCATGTAACGTGTTAAAGCTGTACTTCTTATGTATAGTAATGGGAGCTATATGACTTTATTGATCTGCTAATATTCAGATAATGTTATATGTACTCATACACCATAGATTATGTTAACTCAGGAAAAATGTAAAATTCCTAATATGAGCATACTATTGATATTAATTGATTTCAGTCCTTCATACAAAGAAAGACAGGAGATGGGCATGAAAGGAAAGTCAACAGGAAATAAGAACAGATTTAAGTAAGTTTATACAAACTTGTATAAAATTGAAATTTACTATCAAATATATTCAACAGTATCTAATCCACAGCTTAGATTTGTCAACGACAGCAGTAAATTACTTAATTGTGACTCTTTCTTCCATGAAATCTTGACACAAATCAATTCTTTGATTTACAGTCAGTAAACCTAGACAGTTTTGTAATTATATTCGTCACTTCATCTGTCCGTCCGTCTGTCCGTCTTGATGCCCGTTTGTCTGTCCATCATAATTTTGTCTGTAGCACCACACAAACACTATAAGATGTATAAACCTGAAACTTCAAAGGTCGATAGATCTCAACAAGAACAAGGGCAGTGCACAAGAACCATCACTCTCTTGTTGCCCTTTACTATTTTTCATACTTAAATTTTGTCCCATTCAGGGAGCATAACCTGTCTCTGATGGCCCTTGTTTAACAGGTCTCCACCCCACATCTTTATTTAACTAAGTATGCATTAATTGTTTTTTGTCTGTTACAGGAAGAAGAAGTAATCGTCATTGTGATACTATTATACACTACATTGTATGTATATCATTACCACATATGTAACTAATAAATTTTTGACTCAATTGGAGTTGTTTTTTTCTGTTATAAATATATCTGAGGAATTGGATAACTTTTTCTCTTTCATCAGCTAAAATCAGGTCGTTACAACCAGTGCACCAGACCCACAAGTTGTGAGCAGGTCATTACCACCAGCTCACTAGATTCACAAGTTCGGTTCAGATTGGTCTGGTCAGGTCATTACCACCAGCTCATGAGATCCACAAGTTCAGTTCAGATTGGTCTGGTCAGGTCATTACCACCAGCTCATGAGATCCACAAGTTCAGTTTAGATTGGTCTGGTCAGGTCATTACCACCAGCTCATGAGATCCACAAGTTCAGTTTAGATTGGTCTGGTCAGGTCATTACCACCAGCTCACAAGATCCACAAGTTCAGTTCAGATTGGTCTAGTCAGGTCATTACCACCAGCTCACCAGATCCACAAATTCAGTTCAGATTGGTCTGATCAGGTCATTACCACTAGCTCACCAGATCCACAAGTTCAGTTCAGATTGGTCTGGTCAGGTCATTACCACTAGCTCATGAGATCCACAAGTTCAGTTTAGATTGGTCTAGTCAGGTCATTACCACTAGCTCATGAGATCCACAAGTTCAGTTCAGATTGGTCTAGTCAGGTCATTACCACCAGCTCATGAGATCCACAAGTTCAGTTTAGATTGGTCTGGTCAGGTCATTACCACCAGCTCACCAGATCCACAAGTTCAGTTTAGATTGGTCTAGTCAGGTCATTACCACCAGCTCACCAGATCCACAAGTTCAGTTTAGATTGGTCTGGTCAGGTCATTACCACTTGCTCATGAGATCCACAAGTTCAGTTCAGATTGGTCTGGTCAGGTCATTACCACCAGCTCATGAGATCCACAAGTTCAGTTCAGATTGGTCTGATCAGGTCATTACCACTAGCTCATGAGATCCACAAGTTCAGTTCAGATTGGTCTGGTCAGGTCATTACCACCAGCTCACCAGATCCACAAGTTCAGTTTAGATTGGTCTAGTCAGGTCATTACCACCAGCTCACCAGATCCACAAGTTCAGTTTAGATTGGTCTGGTCAGGTCATTACCACTAGCTCATGAGATCCACAAGTTCAGTTCAGATTGGTCTAGTCAGGTCATTACCACCAGCTCATGAGATCCACAAGTTCAGTTTAGATTGGTCTGGTCAGGTCATTACCACCAGCTCACCAGATCCACAAGTTAAGTTTAGATTGGTCTAGTCAGGTCATTACCACCAGCTCACCAGATCCACAAGTTAAGTTCAGATTGGTCTAGTCAGGTCATTACCACTAGCTCACCAGATTCACAAGTTCAGTTTAGATTGGTCTAGTCAGGTCATTACCACTAGCTCACCAGATCCACAAGTTCAGTTTAGATTGGTCTGGTCAGGTCATTACCACTAGCTCATGAGATCCACAAGTTAAGTTCAGATTGGTCTGGTCAGGTCATTACCACTAGCTTATGAGATCCACAAGTTCAGTTTAGATTGGTCTGGTCAGGTCATTACCACTAGCTCATGAGATCCACAAGTTCAGTTTAGATTGGTCTGGTCAGGTCATTACCACCAGCTCATGAGATCCACAAGTTCAGTTCAGATTGGTCTGGTCAGGTCATTACCACCAGTTTTCCAGATCCACAAGGTGGAGTCAGCTCATCATTACTGGCTCAGATTATTACCACCAGACCCACAAGGTCAGATTGACTCATTACCTCAAGTTCACCCAAACCTTTATGTCAACTTTTTGTGTAAAGTCCACACTGGGGTTATTACCACTAGTTTACCAGACCTGTATTTAATAAGAGTTAACTCCCTTACGGTTGCAGTTTTATCAGGATTATAAGTTGACACATTAATAAAGTTACTAGTCAATGCAAGTTTTTGTCATTTCCTGACCATTTGTCATTAAGGTTCCTGGTACTGTCCAGGAATTATAAGTTAGAATATAAAGACTCTTGTTTGACATTGTAAGGAGGAAAACAAGAGTTCAGACCGAGTTCTTGGCTACCATCATTGTATGTTCTTTATAAGTTTTCTATTTGTGAGATTTTCCTCTTCTTTTCACCTCTTCCTTGTTTTTTTATAAAGAAAAAATAAATTGACAATTAATCCTTCAAATGGTAACATCAATAAACAAGAGCAGTATTTCTTAAGATTTAGAGGTTACACATTTTTACTGTCCTGTCTTCTCAAGGTATAAAGGTAATAGATTTTTGCTGTCCTGTCTTCTCAAGGTATAGAGGTAACACATTTTTACTGTCAAATCTTCTCAAAGTATAGAGATAACACATTTTTACTGTCCTGGCTTCTCAAGGTATATAGGTAACACATTTTTACTGTCCTGTCTTCTCAAGGTATAGAGGTAACACATTTTTACTGTCAAATCTTCTCAAGTTATAGAGGGAACACATTTTTACTGTCCTGTCTTCTCAAGTATAGAGGTGACACATTTTTACTGTCAAATCTTCTCAAGGTATGACACATTTTTACTGTCAATATAGGTAACACATTTTTACTGTCCTGTCTTCTCAAGGTATAGAGGTAACACATTTTTACTGTCAAATCTTCTCAAGTTATAGAGGGAACACATTTTTACTGTCCTGTCTTCTCAAATATAGAGGTGACACATTTTTACTGTCAAATCTTCTCAAGGTATAGAGGGAACACATTTTTACTGTCAAATCTTCTCAAGGTATAGAGGTGACACATTCTTACTGTCAAATCTTCTCAAGGTATAGAGATAACACATTTTTATTGTCAAGTCTTCTCAAGGTATAGAGATAACACATTCTTACTGTCAAATCTTCTCAAGGTATAAAGGTAACACATTTTTACTGTCAGTCTTCTCAAGGTGTAGAAGTAGCACATTTTTACCGTCAAGTCTTCTCAAGGTATAGAGATAACACATTTTACTGTCAAATTTTCTCAAGGTATAGAGATAACACATTTTTACTGTCAAATCTTCTCAAGGTATAGAAGTAACACATTTTACTGTCAAATCTTCTCAAGGTATAGAGATAACACATTTTACTGTCAAATTTTCTCAAGGTATAGAGATAACACATTTTACTGTCAAATTTTCTCAAGGTATAGAAGTAACACATTTTACTGTCAAATCTTCTCAAGGTATAGAAGTAACACATTTTACTGTCAATTCCAATATGACCAACTGTCAACTATTTTGTTACCATCACTTAAAATGTTAACTTATCTCAACAAGGAACAAAAGGTTACCTGTATATGAAATTTTAGAATTACTTAAGTAATCCTACAGTAATTAAAAATAAATAGAGATAACAACCTTCAACTCTTAACATCCAAGATGGCAATCTGTCTTCCATTTTAATTTTTTTCTAAATTGGTCCCAAAATAAACAGCTCAAGTCAAGGCTTTTCAAGATAGAGTGATACAAAGAAAACGCCAGAAAAAAGCAGCATGTCAACGCAATCATTATCTAAACTCAAATTCAATAAGACTTGGGCAAAATTTGAACAAATGAAAGCTTTACACAGAGACTCCTGAAAAGTACAAAGAGAATAAGATCAGGTGTTCCAGAAGAGTATACGACAATGGAACTAACAGACAAACTAACGAGTATCAAACACGTCCAACTTCGTATCGCACAAAGAAATATATTTCTCAGTCAGATCACTTTGACGACTGTAAATCTTCCCCGTAATTTTCATTAACCAACTCTGTGTTATGAGTTTGTCCATCAGTTGACAACTTCTTGCATGAAAATCATGATAATATGAACAGGCTTCGAATATTTTGGTCTATAGCTTTCTTGTAATTTAAAGGCAAGATGTCACCAATATATCTGACTTGAAAATGAATGACTTTGCAAGGTCTTTGTGACTTATTTTAATAAGACCTACAATAAACTTAGCTTCATATAATAACAAAAACAAGTCGGACAACAGAGGTGGAAAGTTAGTCCCAAGAGGTATGCCAATAATTGGAAGATCTTACCACCAAACTCGACTAAGATGTTGTCAACCAGAAACTTTATCGTTTTTCATGATTTCATCCTCTTTACATTTTCTCTTTGATCTGGACTTTTTTTTCACAGAATATGCTTCAGTATAGTTCACAACCATATGTTTGTACCGCTGTTCACCTTTCTTAGAAAAGAGGACTGCCATAATAGAGAATGCAGGCGTTCTTTCAGTTAAGTATGGGTATGATGGTGTAAAGAGTGGGAAAATCAAATGTTCTTAAAGAAGAAATTGGTTTTCAAGGAGAGGGCATGAAAGATTGATCAAAAGCTCTCTTGAGTTCTCTAAAATTCATATACTATTGATTCCTTTTCTTGAGTAAACAGTATCACATTAAGATGATAACCCAGATGTGACAGTGCTAAGAATTTTAGTTTGTAGTTTCAACAAAAGTTTAGGTTGAACAACTAGACCAGCCAGCAATAAATCGTTGTTTATATGGATTCATGTGAAGTTTAAGAATCCAATATAAACGGAGGAGGTCCATATCCTTGTCAATAAAGGGCAATCTAAATTATTGTAATACGGACGCATGATTAGACAATATTTCCTCTTTTGAAACATTATATAGTGTATAGGTAGGGTTTCCTTCGTTATCAAACATGCCTAGTTCTTTTTGTATACAGGGAATGTAATAATGTCTGCAGACAAGGATCGTGTCATTGGACGCCTTATCTGCAGACACAATAACATATCTGTCATGTAAATTTTGAAGTGTGTATTAAACATCAGGATCGACGAACGCTGGCCTGTGTTTTGTTTTCATTTCCGATTTCAAGATGCAAATTATTTCGAGGAAAATGGATCGATTGGATTTTACACTCAAACATAATGGTTTCTGTTAAGTATTCATTGGATTTTCAAACATGACATCCGCTAGATTTATTGCAATGCAGTTGTTTTTTGTTACGATTACGTCTTGTTTGAGGAGTGAATAAAGCCATCATGTTAAGTGTTACCGCATCCAGGACTGGACAAATTTCCTACTGAGTCCACACTGTCATTGCGGA